AATAGCTTTTATAGAAGGAAACTCTGGTTTGTTTCTCGAAATTGAGGTGCAAATAACACATTTTTTTTATGCAACTGCCTTTTAAGTGTATGAATCTTAAATAAGATTGAAAAGTTTGTTTTGTAAGCAGCAAGTGCATTAAACGCTGCAACCATTTCTGAAATGTTGCTATTGATTTTGATAGAATAACAGTTATAATTTCAAGTTTTGTAGTGTTATAATGTTGAATTGCTCAAGCATTCCAAAGTAGGGCATTAGAAGTAATGAATTTCAAAGAGTATGTGTATTGACATGAAGTTATATACTCACACCTCACTTCTTGAACCATCCTTCAGAACAGTGGCCAGGAGAAATCCAACATTAAAACCCAAAAATGACATGTTTTTTTTTTTAAGGACATGCCACCTAGGTTCATTTGTTGGTAATGGAACACACAAGAACACAGGTATCTGTAGATAACTGGAAATTCTTATTAAACGGAAACACAACACATTCTCTCCAAATGCATCCAATGCAATAGTTTTTACGCAAATCTTTTCAACATGCATTCCTAACTGATTAAATATTATATTCTTTATGAAATCAAAGTTTTCAGTCAATTGAACAAGAGAAACGACACTAAAAATACATCATTCGAAATCTATTGCATTTTCTGAATACATTTCAATTTACAACTACAGTACAAGTATTGTAAAAGACTTCATGTTTCTATCCTAACAATTACTGATTGACTGTTGATTACTGCAAGTGAATACACTAAAAAACAAAAGTTCCCCGAGGGACAATGTGAAAGAAACAAGTTTTAAAGTTTCAATTCAATTGGAAAAATAGAAACATCATTCAAAATTTAGTGACTTTTCCTCAGAATTTAATTATAGGGAATTTTTTGTTTATAGGAAGCAAAAATTACACCACTGAATTCAAAGTTTGCGTTCAATGGTTCCTTTTTAAACACTCAATTCAATATAACAAAACATTTGCAAAAAACCAAAAAAAAAAAAAAATTCCGTTATCGGATAAAGTTACAAACGAAACATACAAACTACTATTTCTGTTCACACAATTCAATTTCAGATAAAAACAAAGAACATTCGATCCATTTTTAAAGAACAAACATTAAGAGCATATGAAATTTATACTCGGAATATTTACACAGAAATTACCGATTTGCAGCATTCTCCGAAAAAGGGGGGCAATTTAACGTGAAAACATATATCGTAGTTATTACGATCTGTATAAAAAAAATAATAAAATTCCGTTTGTCCTGAAATGGCTTCCGAAAAACCGTCAGAGGATTCAACGAAACTGAAACTTAACAGTCAAAGTTGAAGTTACATTTCCCGCGCGAGAGGAAAACTCCATCAGCCAATCAAAAAAATCGAGGAAGATACATGTCGCTAGAATTCAGCCTCGGAACATTCGAACTATATGTCTTTTGGTGAGGGGCAACAAGTTTCAAAACAGAAACTAACGGCCAGGAAGCGTTAGAATGTTTGCAAAACATTGTAATAACAAAACGATGGTATCGTTGCAGAAATTTAAAAAAAAAAAAAAATGATTTCATAATGAAAATTTTACGAAACATGAGAAAATTTCGAAAAACAAAAAGATTAATATGCTATTATTTTCTTCTTCAGTTGAATAAATTTTAAAAAGCTAGAAACAAAACCGTTACCATTTCAGCTTAAATCCAGTTATTTAAAGGATATCTTGAGAAAGGTAAGGTATCAACTCTTAAAACCATGAAGTTGATTTTGTTCAGACATTTTATTGAAGGATTGATAGTATTATTGTTACATGAATGTTAGAAACTTTTAACAGTTAGGGGAGGGGAAGCAAATAAGCCTCTTTTTTGTTAACGAAATTAAAAAAAAAAAGTTAAATGAAAATTATCGAGATTTAATATCAATTTTGAATAATTTCACTCATTGACATAAAGCGTATCACATTGTATAATTATTAAGAGACACATAATAATGGATTGTTAGGAAAACTGAAGTTTCGTTCATGTCACATGCAAATTATAGCAAAATTCATTTTCAGGAATTCAATTTAAAGTAATTCTACATTCAAACCAGTAGTTAGCTACATAACATTCAAAATGGGGATGTTTCTGAATTAAAAATGCTTCTTCAAAAGACATTAGAATTCAGTTTGGAAAAAGAAGTGTTCAGAATTTACTTGAAGGTGACTGATTCTAAAAATGAGTATTACATTTAACTTGAAAAAATTGTTAGAAAGGAGCAAGAAATTACAGATTGACAAGACAACTGGATAATAGTATACATTTGTCATATGTAAACAAAACTTGTGAAGCTTCAAACACCAGCATTCAGATTTTACTTTAATATAAAAATTAATTCATTTCACAGTAAAAGAAACATAGAACACTTTAGAAAGCAAATTCTACTTTTAACACAATCTTATTTGACAAATATTTTTAACTTAATGTCAAAAAAGTCCATTTTGGAAAGAATGTCATTTCATAAATGAGCAAGTATAACTGAGTATTATTAGCCAAACTAAGTCTTTTTTTCATGAGAAAAAAACTAAGACTATATAAACCTTTAGGCAATTATCTGTATATAAATGAAAAATATATGGAATTCATTTCAAATTGCATATGTGGAGTTTTTCTACATGCATACATCCTAAATCATGCTGCAATTAAAATTCTACTTGGCTTTCACATAGACTTACAAAAATAAACATTACTATTCATTAGGCTCATTTAATACTAAACTTTTGTATTCCATCCTTAATGGTATTTACAGAGCAATTTAAGCCTAACCAAAATATGCATAAGAATTGAAGTGTAAGTTAGCTTTCACAAAACTTCATAAATAGAGCTAAGACACACTATCATCATGTTGGAATGAATTTTTATGG